AATCGTACGTCTCATCCCAAAAAGAAGCATAAACGTTCTCGACATGTGAAATCAGCCGAGTTTAAATCTCTTTCTCTGGTAGCTGCCTTTCAAACAAACTATGACATTCGGAGAAAGTATGTTACCATCCAGATAAACGGCATATCAGCTCGTCTTCAAATTGACACGGCATCAGATATCACCTTAGTATCTAGAGAAACGTATAACTTGCTGGGTAAACCGCCAATGAAGCCATCTAAGAAAACGGCCAAAAACGCATCAGGTGGTGTGCTAAAACTGGTTGGTGAATTACAGTGTGAATTTTCCTTCAATGGAACTAACTGTACAGGAATATGTTACCTAACAGAACGGCCAAACCTTGATCTTCTTGGTCTAGATATGTTAGATAAACTTGGAATAATGGATGTACCGATTAACAGTGTCTGCAACGTATTGTGTTCATCATTAGACACCCCAGTACTTGCAAAGAAGACATGTGAAAGGTTACTAGAAAAACTGAAAAGAAAGTTTGCCTTTGTTTTTCAGAATAGCCTTGGCCACTGTACCAAGATGAAAGCTCATTTACCACTGAAACCAGATGCCAAACCTATTTTTCGTCCTAGACGTCCTGTACCATATGCTGCTCTTGAGTTAGTCGATCAGGAACTTAATCGCTTGCAACAGGCTGGTGTAATTCAACCAGTCAACTACTCTGCATGGGCCGCACCGATCGTAGTGATTAAGAAGGCGAATGGAACTATACGCATATGTGCCGATTTCTCGACCGGTTTAAATGCTGCATTAGATGTGTATCAATATCCATTACCAGTTCCTGAAGACCTGTTTGCCAAACTTAATGGTGGGACATGTTTCGCGAAAATAGACTTTTCCGATGCCTATCTACAAGTAGAAGTAGATGAAGACAGTAGAGAGCTTTTGACCATTAACACTCATCGAGGGTTATTTCAATACACCCGTCTACCATTTGGCATCAAGACTGCACCTGCCATCTTTCAGCAAATAATGGATACGATGCTAACAGGTATACCTGGTACAGCAGCTTATCTAGATGATATCATAGTTATGGGTTCAACTGACAATGAACTTTCTGATCGACTACATCAAGTCCTTAACCGAGTGTTGGAATATGGTTTCCAACTACGTGAGGAAAAGTGTACTTTCTTTATGCATTCCATCAAATACCTTGGTTTTATCTTAGATAAGAACGGTCGCCGACCAGACCCTGCCAACATCGAAGCCATTCAGAAGATGCCTGCACCAACTGATGTCTCTTCATTAAGATCCTTCTTGGGGTTAATCAGTCACTATAGCACATTCTTGCCTGAAATGCATCGAGTGAGAGGTCCGCTGAATGAATTACTATCAAAAGATAAACCTTGGCAGTGGTCAGCAGAATGTCAAGCATCTTTCGACAGAGTCAAATCAATGCTCAGCTCAAAGATTCTTTTGACACACTTCGATCCCAGCTTGGAAATTGTTGTTGCATCTGATGCATCTAGTCATGGAGTTGGAGCAGTGATATCTCACGTGTTTCCGGACAAATCAGAAAAGACAATTGCCCATGCTGCTAGATCACTTACCCCAGCCGAGCGGAACTACAGCCAAATTGAAAAGGAAGCTCTTGCGATCATTTTCGCTGTCAAAAGATTTCATAAAATGCTCTATGGTCGTACATTTACTCTACTGACAGATCACAAACCTTTGATTGCAATCTTTGGTTCTAAGAAAGGAATCCCTGTCTATACGGCTAATAGATTACAGCGCTGGGCAACAATGCTCCTCAGTTATGATTTCAATATCAAGTATCAGTCGACAAATACTATCGGTCAAGCCGACGCTCTCTCTCGATTAATTGGAGTTCAGCATCCTGGACCAGAGGATATAATCATTGCCTCCATAGCAGTAGACCCAGAAATACGAAGTATAGTGGCAGATGCCATTCGAAACACTCCAGTGTCGTCAGATGAAGTCAGAGAAGAAACTCTTCGAGACCCGATTCTACAAGAAGTTAGAAAGTTCCACCTGGAAGGATGGCCCACGAAGATCAGTTCCACAGAGCTTCAACAGTTTTACCAGCGTAGACTCTCTCTCTCAATCATCGACGACTGCCTGCTGTTTGCAGAACGTGTCATAATCCCAAAGAAGCTACAACCAGCAGTGCTTGAACAGTTGCACGCAGGACATCCTGGAATAAATCGCATGAAAGCATTAGCACGAAGTTATGTATACTGGCCGCATTTAGACACTCAACTGGAGCAGCTATCCCGTTCATGTACCAAATGTGCATTAGCAACGAAAGCACCGCGGAAAGCAGAGCTGCAATCATGGCCAATACCACAGTCACCGTGGCAGCGTCTACACTTGGACTTTGCTGGTCCACTTCATGGACAAACTTACCTTTTGGTAGTTGATGCATATAGCAAGTGGCCAGAAATCTTTCTCATGGAACACCCGACTGCAAGCTGCACAGTCAGTAAGCTACGTCAACTATTCAGTCGTTTCGGAGTCCCGGAATTGATAGTTAGTGACAACGGAACACAGTTTACGTCCGTAATTTTCTCACAATTTTGTCGGCAGAACGGAATCCATCACGTCCGAACACCTCCATTCCATCCCCAATCAAATGGTCAAGTGGAACGCTTTGTGAGTACATTTAAAAATGCTCTAAAAAAATCTAAAGGGGAGGGGACCACCGAAGAGATCTTAGAGAGGTTCCTGCTTATTTATCGCTCGACACCGAACCCTCAGACGATTAAGGGGGTCTCTCCAGCAGAAGCTCTACTTGGCAGAAAAATACGAACACATTTCGATGTCATCCGTCCTACGCCAGCTCTTGAGCCTCAACGAAACCTATCTATGGAGAATCAGTTCAATCGACATCATGGGGCACAAAAACGATTGTTCACGGTGGGACAAAAAGTACTTGCTATGGACTATCGTGAGAAACATCCTACATGGACAGCTAGTCGGATCTTGAAAAAGAAGGGGAGTGTGGTTTATGAGGTGTCAGTTGGCTCAGAAGTTTGGGTACGTCATGCTAACCAATTGAAAGCAACTTCGATAGCCAGCAACGAGATTCAATATCGATTACCTCTTGATGTTCTGCTAGACACCTTTGAAATCAAAACGCCTGGAACAGACAGGTCAGTTTCTGTGCAAGCAAAGAGTGATACTTCTTTATTGCCTAGACGATGGACAAATCGAAAGCACAGGCCAGTCACTCGGTTGCAGTTGGACCCTAGCACCAGATCCTACGAATCTGCTCAAAGGGGAGGTGTTAGTGGGACATAGATTGGATTTAAGCATGCTCAATGCACGATTGCTTTGGCGCACGCTGATCGGCTGATTCTTATCCAATCAGCGCTAGTCTATACATGGAGAAGCTTCTAGATTCTTCTTATGTAAAAAGCTATAAATATACTAACGGTTTTCCTATTTCGCTTCTTGCTTCTTGCTTCACCTAACCTTGTTATTTGGAATATAATCTCCTTCCTGCTCAATCGTGTTCTGATTTGGGGCCTTGTCGTGTGAATCTGTGACCGTGAATACTAAGCGATAGGAATAGCTGGGTTATAACCGTAATAGCGAAAATATAACAGTAGTAAAGATAGTCAACCACTCTCTAATCTTGTCTTTCAATAAAAGTCCTAAGCTCCTCCAAAGGACAAAACACTACTGATAAATTTAAAATATAAGCTAAGAAATATCATATATTGTATATTCAGATGATTTATGACTAATCTCAACCTTAATTAACGAAACAAGAACATTGAGTTCGCTACAAAACTTCCTTAGTTAACTTTGTATGAAAATTTCTCACGAAAAGACGGCAACTACGATTATAAACACACAAAACAGTAACTCACCAGTCATTATAGGTGATAGCACGATAAAGGAGGCAAACTGTCTTAAGTACCTGGGATCGATATTTCGAAGCGAAGGTCACCCTAGTGACACGATTAATGTCAACCTGATAAAAGCTAAACATACCACAATAAAAATAAGTCCAGTATGGCGAGCTAATGGTATAAGTCTGAATACTCAAACAAAACTTGTAGAATCCACAATTTTACCAATCTTAACACATGGACTGTAGATAATAATCCTTAGTAAAAGGACTGGATGATAAGAAGTCCCAAACACCATCTAACGTATGATGTTAGGTGCAAACGATCTCGAGCACACCCCAATAACATTACAAAAGGAAATCTGACTATCAAACATGACCACTAGAATGCAACAGAATAGACTGAATGAGTAGTTCGTCACACACAAAAGGCCAAGGATATAATATTTGGATAAATCAAAAAGATGAGGTTTTATAGACTGTGATATATTACCACAACGAATTTGGAAGGGTCAGATCATTTTACCTATTCGTGCACTTTGCCACAATATAAAGACCAGTGCAAACATGACTACTGTGAGTCTGGCTTGACGAGACGGAGATTCTAAGTAAAAGAAAAAAGATCTCTAAAGAGCTTCAAACTAAGTCAGTGGTGTAATTTGCCAAAAGATTAGGAGTAGAAAGACATTATAACACACCAGCTAACGGACCTTCACGAGAACAACTTGAAAAAAGTTTGAACCAGTAAAACTCAACGCACAACCTGGTGCGTATGTGCATTGATTCAGGTTGCCATACCCTACTAGCACAGCGGGATGAAATCGTTAGGGTGAACCATAAAAGTAGGAATGGTATCCGTATCAATGGTAATAAAAAATATTGACGATTGAATTAACGACTCAAGAAAACGTAAACCAGAGAAATAAAAAACTTGGGGAATTTAGAAGCACAGAACCCAGGGTAGACAAACAAGTAGTCTGAATAATTTAGTTCGTTATCTATTTGTTCACATTGAAATACACGTATAGTGTGTGTAATCAAATCTAAAATAGCTCGATTGTCTACATCAAAAGACCTACACAATTATGTACCTAAAAACTATCCATCTGGCTTGATAAGTAGACATTTATATTATTAATTAAAAGTAACTTACGTCATCTACCATGGGGACTTTCGGGGGATTGAACAATTCATGATATGACCTACCACTAGCTAAGTGGAATAATCTGCCACAAATCCTTTTTTCCAGAATGGAAGGATCGAGCTTGAATTCCAAGGCAGCCGACAGATGAATCTGACGATCTCTAAGAAGGTTATCAAGCTGCAGTTTGCATATGCAGCCTCATGAACATACTTTTTTAGCTTGTTCTAGTGTGCGTGGAAACCCGTCGAATAGAAGTCCATTTTTACATTCCGGAGAACTGATTTTTTGTGCGATTAGGTCACAAACTATGTCATCTGAAACAAGTCCTCCTGATTCCGTAATTTTCTGTACTTTTTGGCCAAGTTCTGATCCCGATGCTATAATGGCTCTAAGAATATCTCCTAAAGAAATTTTCAAAAAACACAGATGCATACCAGTAGATAAATGGCAGATTTTATAACGTTCAGCTATTTTGACTGCCTACAAACACGTACATATAGATTAATATAGATTTACCTGAGTCCCTTTTCCACTACCTGGTGGGCCAATTAAAACTAAATCAATACGTGTCCCTTCACCGAATCGCCACCTCCTATACCAACCAGCCAATTCATGAAACATCGAGACGAATGAGACGCAAAACGAACGATTTAACCTCCTTTCCGTCTTTAGTGACCTTCAGTGGTTAGAGTGACAATGGCTGTTTTGAAAACCTGAAGTTTCAGTTTTCAGTTTCAGTTTGGTAGGGACAGGAGGTTTGATGGCCTGTATTAGTTCTTGTAATGATGGTCTCCAAGTTGATACAACTTCCGTTGGAAAGAGTCGACAGATGGAGCTTCGATCATGTGTTGGGATGATGAATTTCACTAGTTGTTGATTCGATCGGAAAGTAAATATTCAACTGACAAGTATTTTGTTCTGGGCCTGTAAATAATTTTCATATTCCTCCAGCCTTTTGGTAAGAAACTCTGGGTTACGGATAGACTAAAGGATATGCTTAAGGGTTTCGCGACGAAATTAATTAGTCCCTTTAGTAACCTAGGAAGCATTTCATTGGACTCCATAGATTTGCCTATATCAAGCTTATTTAGTGGACTCATCTAGATGAGGGCGCTCGGTCAAGCAGCCGCACCAGATCACGTGTGTGAACGCCGTGCTCAACATCTGCCTCAATCGCTGGCCAGATTAATTCAAACGATCCGCGATATATTGATAGCTTATCAAATATATCTTCGATCTCCTCGCTTCTGTCTTTTGATTTCACTTGATGGGTACAGCAACGATTGTCGTCCAGCTGGTGACTATCGGCGATTGGACTTGGTTACAGCGTATAACCAAATCCCTATGGCCACTGAAGACATCCCAAAAACCGCAATTAAAACGCTCTTCGAACTCTATGAATTTTTACGAATGCATTTCGGTCTGAGAAACGCGGCACAGACTTTCCAAAGGTTCTTAGATGACGTTTTTCGAGGTCTCAACTTCGTACATGCGTATGTTGATGGCTGCCAAATAGCAAGTCCGGACAAAGAATGGCATCTCCATCATCTGGATCCTGTTTTCGACAGATTACAAAAACATGGCATTACTGTAAACATTCAGAAGTGCCGAATCGGAACTGACTCCTTATTTCAAAAAACGAAAAGCCATATTATAAAAACCTTTTTTTACGCTATTACGTGAGCATGTGCTATTTTCCATGTTTTTCGCCAGCTTTATGTTTCCGCGCGCGTACGAGTGTATTTCGACATGCACTTACATATTTTTTTCTTTTCCAGGATGGCTGGAAAGGACGATAAAAAGAAGGATGAAGTTGCGAGAAACGAAAATCTGCATTGTACCTTTTTTTTACTGTATTGTACATCATGGTCCATTATAGTAAGGAAAGACGACCAAAGGCTGCTAAACCTAGCAAGCTATCAGAAGAGTGTTTACCAACGAAAAACTCGTTGGGTTTAAACTTCTGGCTGGCCACGTCTTAGGGTCATCACTACCCCACTAGGGGGGGAGTGATCTGTAGCGGTAAATAATTCCCCAAAATAAATGGCTCTGTAGGTTTTCGACATTGGATGCTGACCACAGTTTTAGTGGACTCATCTAGCTGAAGGCACTCGGTCAAGCATCCGCCGTGCTCAACATCTGCCACAATCGCTAGCCAGATTAGTGCAAACGACCCTCGATATATTGATAGTTTAGCAAATATGTCTTCGATCTCCTCGCTTCTGTCTTTTGATTTCACCTGATGGGTACGCTTCATGTTAGGTGTTACCGGTTAAAGCCTTGTCAAACTCCGAATACCTGTGGCATCTTCAGTCCCTTGTTTTATATATGAATACTAGCGTTATGACCATTGTATAGGTTCCCCAAGAGTTTCTCCTTCGTACAACCTTCTAAACTTACGGAGGGTCGAGGTATAAGTATTCCGAGCTTCTCGGTTTTGAAATTTTGTCTCATCAGTCTCCAGTAACCTATGTCTCTATCACTAAGAAGGGTGCGAATTTCCTACTGAACCATGCAGGAGATTTTCTCGAATCTCTTGGTGTATTTCAAGGGACGTAGGGGTGCAGTGACTTTTAAGTACAAATTTCTAAATACAACTCAAACTGTTTCAGTTGGGAAGTCTAGCTTTATTGTCCAATGTACTGACGATGCTGAGTATATAATATCATGTATATCTGCTTTCCAGGAGTTAGGTGGAATAATATCACATGTTCTAATATAGATATGATGCGCCAAATAGTTCGTTTTTCTTTTATCTTAATGGCCAGAGAAGGCATTATCAAGGGTCATTTTCAAGGTATTTTACGACGTAGCCTAATGATTTGCATTATCCGCTAGTTTTTCTTGTATGTCCGGTTAATCCAATTTTTCATGCATTTTAAAACAAATTATCCACCAATGTAGATGATATTTAACCAAATATATTAATTATAGACATAGCATATACTAATGAGTAGTTAATAGGTTTCAACACTCTGAATTAAGAATATAAGGTTGATAAGTTTTTACGTTAGAGTTTGTTTTTTATCGTCCCTGCAACGACAGACCATTACTCACTTTTTCATTTTGTATGAAGTCTGTTGATATCGATCCAAATTATAGAAACTCTTCCAGCTATTTCACTAAACAATTATGCAACTTATGAAAGCCCGAAAAATTCGATAGAAATATTTACAACAGATTGTAGATTTTTGGTTTATAGTTTTTAGACCTTTTCCTTGCTGTCTAAGTTTCTAAATTTGCCGTGCACGGAAACTAGAGGTTTGATTGCTACAGTGCATAATAATACCATCACACAAGATGGAAAGTATTAAATACAATTATAGATAGTAATTCCATGTTTCAGTACACCTTTAATCTGTTTAAGTAAATTGACAACGAAGACTGGTGTCATTTTAGTTTTCGCACGCAATATAGCATATGAAAATATTACCAAAGATGTGAGTTAAGCTTTAACTGCTGGAATTAGCATAATTTGTGTACTTGGCAAAGAAAGTCTTGTCTTGACAGTTAACTGAATACACGTTGCTAAGTGAAAACCAATGTACTCATAAGCAACAAGTTCTGTAGCAGTTTGTTTCATGTTTGTGGTTATTGTTATGTAGTAAAAATTTATAAACACTATATATTTATAAAAGGTTACCTTGAGCTCCACTTTGTGCTGTCCCACGTTCTAAATAAAGACCTGTTCACTGCTAGTCTGGTTTCTTGCATCAGTGGAATGAGGGGTACGCACCGTCACGGAAATAATTCTGATGACTTTCGTACTATATTATATTATACTTTTTAACTATAACAACAATATGCTAAACACCTATGTGATTATTTTGACTTTTCTTAGAAATATCATGCTTAATTACCTAATTCATTTTGTTTCAATGAACTAACGCATTTTGGGAAGTGCTCCTGCAAGAACATCTAAGATATCAATTAATTTACTACTATTTGAAGAAAGGTCTCGTAATTTTGGTTTTACTTTTACAGATTTGCTTCAGTATAGTAGAATAACTTTCGTTAAACGACCCAACTTTACTCGTGCGTTACGGATGAATAGTTTCAAGTTGTGGAAAAGCTATCCCATTTTAAATAAGCGTTCGTTTGTCACATTTTTTCTAAATGCATCTAATCTAACTGCATGTCTGAAGTAATGGTTTGTATTAGTCAAGTTAACTATCTTAACTAAAAACCAGTGAACTGTACAACTTGCAGAGTCAAAAACAGTCCATATTCAGTTGACATGTATTATTCACATTATAAAGATATATATAAGAATGAAAGTTATTAGTAGCTTTCAGTAAATGTTTCGTATCAGTAGTCACAAAAGGTATGTTTGCATCTACGTCGATAGATATCGAATTAATACGCACGTCTCGAATTTTCGTATCACGTCGGCCTCACCAATGAAGATGCCACAGGTATTCATAGTTTGAAAACGCTTTAACCAGTAACACCTTCTAATACGAAGCGCACCCACCAAGCAAAATCAAAAGACAGAAGCGAGGAGATCGAAGATATATTTGATAAGCTATCAATATATCGAGGATCGTTTGCACTAATCTGGCTAGCGATTGAGGCAGATGTTGAGCACGGCGTTCCCCGACGTGATCTGGTACACCATATTGTAAACTGTGAGCCTGTTCCTATTTGTGATTTTATACATCATTGTCTTATTTTAATTTTTTTAACATTGTGACATTTTTTTCCAGTGTTTTTGGGTTTATATGTATATTTGCCACTCGTTCACTTTTCGTACTTGATATATTACTATGACTGAACAGACCCCTAAAGTATTTAAGTTAAAGACTGTGTCCCCACCCTCTTTCCAACTTATGCCTTTCTGGCCAGACAACATGGAAGCCTGGTTTTGTTACGCAGAAGCCGACTTCCTCGAGCACGGTGTGAACGATGCGCGTGCACAATTCCTCGCAGTTGTCAAGGCACAACCGCGCAAATTTAACAGGTACGTAACACCTAGTATGTTTACTAGTGATGTTTCTGATCCATACCAAACCCTGAAACATGCCATCCTTAAACGCGGAGATCTAACCGATCGACAAAAGTTAGACCAACTCCTTAACAACATCGACCTGTAACACGGTTCTGCCACAGACATGTTGCAAAGAATGCGAGCCCAATCAACCGATAAAGGGGAAATAAAGGTGAAAAAAGGGGAAATAAAGGGGAAAATGCTTTGGTAAAGAAAGGGGAAATTTAGGGGAAAACGCGCCAAAATGTCGCCTTTTTCGCCTGTCTGGGGGAAATAACGCGGATTTCCACCTTTTTGTCGCCTTGTCGCTAAATTGTCTACTTTTCGCCTAAATATCCGCCAAACTGTCTACTATTCGCCTAAATATCCTCAGAATTGTCTACTTTTCTCCTAAATTGTCTACTTTTCGCCTAAATTTCCACCGAATTGTCTACTTTTCGCCTAGATTTCCACCGAATCGTCTACTTTTCGCCTAAATATCCGCCGAATTGTCTATTTTTCGCCTAAATATCCGCCTAATTGTCTACTTTTCGCCTAAATATAAGCGGAATTGACTGCTTTTCGCAAAAATGCACACAAAATTGCGCGTTTTTTATCTAACCTTAAAATCGCCATTGGCATTACCCAAAAGTTCTCCAAAATTCGCCTTTACTTCTACAAAAAACCACAGCGAAAGTGCAATGGATGGGAAAAGCGCTATATATGTTTATATATTTTTAT